TATATATATATATATATATATATATATATATATATATATATACATATATATACATATATACATACAAACATTATATACATATATATACACACACACATATACACACACACACACATACACACACCCACGCTGTGGTCTGAAAACTAAGGTGACGGTCCACTTATATCTCTTCGTAAATACAGCATTTTTCAGTATACATTTAGAGTAAAAAGAGAATCGAGTAAGTAATTATAATTAACTTAATGTCAGAGAACACCAGGAAACTGGCTGATCTGTAAATGAGAATACTAATCTCATCCTATAGACCAAATTATATTTTACGATGTCTGCTTATAATCCAAGGCTTCCCGCCGTTACGGATATCAGTGTTGCTACAGACAACCAAACAAACAAAGGATCGAGCAAACCTATTGAAGCGGAAAACATAAACAAATCGCACAGTATTGTGAAACCTGTGTTTATAAAGGTTGACCAAATTCCTACAGGTAGCGTCAAAACTCAATGCAGAGATGAGGAACTTTGCATTGCTCTTACGAAATGTATCTGCAGAGAGCATCATCGGTGTGCAAAAGATACGCAATCTGTGGAGAATATATCTCTAAATAGCAGAAAGGATAGAGTACAGTTATTAACAAAAGGAGTGAATATAAGAAGTTGCAACGTGTCGGTGTATGACAAAAACCCATATTCTGCCTTCAATTCTACAGGAACCACAAGATTACTTATTAAGGATATCCCATTGTCAGTTGCAGACTCTGAAATAATTTATCGGCTTAAAGCACTAGGGTGCAAGCCGATAGGAGATGTCATGAGGTTGAAAATTAGAGTCAATGGCCAGCTAACCAGTTGGTTAAATGGGGATAGGGCTGTTTTTGTAGAGAAATTGGCATCATTGTTACCAAGACAAGTAACTATAAATGGATTTAGAGCCCGTGTTTTCTATGAAGGGCAAGAGCTAAAAGTAATAAATGCCTAAAATTCGGCCATCTTTCTTATCAATGTAAATCGGAACCTGTGTGCTTCAAGTGTCACCGGGAAGGCCACACAAAGGACCAATGTCAGGACGACAATTCCATCGAGTCTGCCGGAGCATACATCAATCGGATGTGGGAGTCCTTTGTAAACACACCAAAGTCAACAAAAGAGGAAAAAACACGGATTGAGAAAGAGAAAGTAAGTGATACTGCAATTAATTCAGATGCGGAGGGAGACAGCGATGATGTGTTCAGCATCCATGATAGCGCTGACAATGGCAGTAGCGTACATGGTGACGAAAACATTACGCGTGATAATTCTCATAAGAAAGAAAACGTAAGAGAATGCGCTGATGGAGACGAAATCATTGAATCAAAGCACGAACAGGAGCAGAAGAGGGTGACCGACTATTTTGGGTCAACTGTACATGAAGCTAAGAGTGGCAATCTGAGGAGAAAGTATGTCTACCAGAAACAAATGCCCTCCTCGTCTAAGGAAGATGAAGAAGGTAAGGCAGATAAGAATCAAGGACAATCCAAACTAATACCAATGAAAAATGCAACACCGAAAAAAAGAAACCTAAGGAAGAAAAAGAAAAGCAAATAAACAGTAACGTGCATACTTTATATAATACATAGTTCACAACCATAGGTCTTTTTCTATCTATGTTTTATCAGTATGACGTGGAATTATATCACTTACTATCATTAAGCTTATTAGAATTATTAATGCTACACGCGTTGCATTAAGTAAATACTGTTTATATAACAATCCAATTAAATATGAACATACATTTTATCACATTAAATATTAGAGGTATCAGAACTAAAGATAAACAACGGAAGACATTCAGCTGGTGTAAAGACCAAAAGGCGGACTTTGTCTGGGAAGGAGAGGCCATACATAGTATAGGCAGCTCGCATAGTAGAGGGGTATCAGTACTTATACGAAAAGGTATTGAATGTAAATTGGTTAAGAAGTTGATTGACACAAATGGAAGATAAACTTAATAATACATGGAAAACATGTTTTAATTATCAAATATACGCTCCGAACGAGAGTAAAATTAGAAGTGAATTCTTTAGAAATATTTATAAATGCTACAATAAATTTATAGATGAAAATTGCAAAAATATAATTTTGGGTGGCGATTTAAACTGTATTATGAATAGAGACCTAGATCAAAAAGGAAGTATAAATAGACTGGATAAATCAGTATATACTGTGAAGAACTTAATGAGAAACTTAAAACTGACTGACAGTTGGAGAATGGTAAACGAAAATAAATTGCAATTTACTTGGCGCAAAAAATTATCAATATTTATCGTAGGCTAGACTACTTCTTAATATCAGAAGAAATGCTTCAGAACGGTGATGTCATATCTTGTGATATTCGTCCGGCAATACATACAGACCATCAAGCAGTCTCAATTAAGTTAGACTTGCATGAAGAAAGGCGCGGGCCTGGTTTGTGGAAATTTAATAACAGCTTCCTAAAGGATGAAATTTACAAAAACTCAATAATCAAAATTATTAATGAAAACGTAAAACGCAATTACAATTCACTCAATACAGTATTATTATGGGACTTCGTGAAAACAAAAATAAAAGAAGCTTCGATATTTTACGGAAAGAAAAAGAATAAGAACCATAAGATAAAAAAAGAAAAATTACAAAAAGACATAAGTAAATTGAATGAAATAAGTATGAACAATTGTACAAGAGATGAGGCTATTGAAAATAATATTGAAAACAAAAAAAAGTAACTTGAAAAAATATATGATATCGAGGCAAAAGGTGCTCAAATTAGATCCAAGGCGAAATGGATTGAGGAGGGCGAACGTAATACTAATTTTTTCCTAGGTTTAGAAAAAAACAAATAGCAAGAACAAACAAATTAAAAATTTATTTACTAACTTAGGAACCAAGGTTACTAGCTCAGTTGATATTTTCAGAGAACAAGTTACACATTTTAAAAATCTATACGCAAATCAATCTATATGCCCTGAGCAAATAAAAACGTACCTCGCTAGTACCAGGGTGAACGCACTTTCGGAAGAAGAAAAAGATCTCTGTGAAGGCATTGTCATTATTGATGAGTGTGAGAATGCTCTTTCAGATATGAATAAAAATAAATCCCCAGGGTCAGATGGACTTATTTAATTAAATCACTAGTAAACTCAGATCAAAAGGGATACATAAAAGGGCGTCTGGCTGGAGAGAATATCCGTTTAATAGAAGATTTGCTGTACTATACC